AGCTGATAGAGTAAAAATATTAATTGAGGAGCTACCGGTAATAAGAAGGAAAATAAAAGAAAACGTGGAAGAAGCTCAAGAAAAACAAAAACAACAACATGACAAAAGAGGAATTAGGAAACCTAAATTTGAAATAGGAGAAAAAGTATTATTATACGAAGCGTGGAGAGAAAAACAATGGTCTGGAAAATTACAGAACAAATGGAAAGGACCATATTTAATTCACGAAGAATTTGGAAACGGAGCATATAAACTCAAAGAATTGGACGGAAGAATACTAAAAACACCACAAAATGGAGAATGGTTAAAGAAATTTTATAATCGAGAGAGATTTACACCAAAAATAGTAATTAAAGGAAAAGAGGTATTCGATAAGACCCGAGTTCGATTCGATTAAAACCATTATGGATAAGACACGAGTTCGATTCTATTAAAATTATTTGTGAGGTCACAAATAGTGAAGAGGGGGATAATGTAAACGGTCAAATATCAAGCATGAAAAGATGATAAAATTCAACTACCAAACGTAATTGCCAAATGTTAAGAACGAACAAATTAATTATGGATTGGTGTAGATGGATAAATAATTAGCCGAAAAGGATAAACATTTAGGAGGAGTAATGGGAATCCCATAATTTTTATTAACTCAATATTTTAGTAATATATAAACTAAGCGATATCTATAATGTTGATAAACATTTAGGAAGAGTAATGATCTACATAATGTAATATTTATCAAATGATTGACAAAGAACCAATAGGAAAAATAGAGTCGATCATTTGCGGCTTAGCGATCTTTAACGATAAGAACGATAAGAAAGAATAATTATAAGCCACAGAAGATAAATTATAAGCAAAACACATAAAGTGGATTAAAAGAACATATAAAATAATGTCGGAAAGATTAAAGAACACGAAATAATATAAAAGATAATATGAAGAGATAGTATAAAGATGGAATACAAAAGATAACATATTAAAAAAGAACATATATAAAAAGATAACACAGCCACAAAAGATGGATTATATCTTTACGACATAATATTTGAAAGATTATTTTAAAGAAAAGATAGCACAGCCATAAAAGATGGGTTATAAATTATTTCTTTACGATGTAATATTCGAATAATAGAAAAGATAATATATAAAATAATATATAAGATAGCATATTAAAAGATAGCGTATTTAGAATATAAATAGTATATTAAAAAGATAGTTCAAAGATAATATGTAAAAGAACATAAAAGAAGTATATTAGAAAGATAGTTCAACGATAATATGTAAAGAATATAAAAGATAGTATATAGATAGAATAGAAAGTAGCATAAAAATTGTATATATAGAAAGCGGAATTCAAAGTAATTCCACAGTTCTCATCCACAGAACTCAATAAAAATATAAGTTTTATTTTTAATTATTTGTTAGTGAAGTTTAATGTTAATTAAAGGTAATAGGTTCGCCCTAAACTTTAATTAATGTTTGCTTAATTAATTTTAATTGAATAAAATGAAAATTTTAAGATGAATTAAATATGCACTTTTGAAAAGTAATAATTCGTAGCGAGAGCTATCGAAGTTTGAAATTAAAGGTAAAAGCGGATATAATTTGGGGAAAATTTAGAGAAGTTAAATTTTATTTTATTTCATTCGACGTTTTATATTACTAACGTTATTTATTTTGTGAACCAAGAATGTTGTCGTTATATGTTGTATATGTTGTTGTATGTCGTTGTTAATCATGTTGTTAATTAATTGCTCGCTCGTTTAATTGTTCGTTCGTTCGTTTGTTTGTTCGCTCATTCGTTCGTTCGACCATGAGAATGCCCGTTCGATGTGGCAACCTTGTAAATTGATGACAGGGGGAATTGGGGGGATCTCAACGTTTCGAGGTGATGTGTTGTGAAGAGAAATTAACTATTGTGTTAACATCACGTTTTAAAGGACGTTTCTCCAGTTCTTTCGTGTCATCTGAAGTAGGAGGATCAATAGCGATCAATTTACCCATTCGTAAAGTAAGGGATCGAGAACGAGAATTGCAGCGACGTTGCTTTGAAGGGATTACGATATTCAGATGAGCCGATATTAAATTATCCATTTCTATCTTAAGAGTCTGTTTAGAATGGCGTTTAGAACAGGGCGGACATGCTAATTATCACCTTGCCGATCATTTGCCGATCATATATATTGATTATCACGTTTTTTTGAGGGCTTCAAGCAAAGCTCAAAAAAAATTTATAATCATTTTGTTTGGTAATTTAGGTTATCAAAAATATACTATAAAATTATTGTGGCAAAAAAAAATGTAGTGCCAAAGTTAGATTTGGGCCGAAATATTCAATAATTAGTATTTACAAATCATATGCCGATCATCTGCTAATTTGACTTTGAAGCTTCGGGCTAAGCCACAGATGTTCGGGCGAAACTTGAAACTTTTATAATATATTATTTAAGTATTCAAGAATCTATGGCTAAAATAAACATGGATAATTTTTAATAAACAAAAAGTTATCATTAAAAGAATACTTGCAATTATTAAGGTTAATATAAGGCTAATATTTGGTAAAATCTTCATGAACTAATTTTATGAATTAATTTATTAATAGTATATAAATAAAGTAAATAAAATCAAAATTTTATACATTATTACGTAGAGTTTGTAAAAAAAATAGTATTTTTTTGTGACAATATTGGACAAATGATCAGCAAAATGATCTAAAACTTGACGATGTTTGTCGCTAACATCAGAGTAGAACAACTTTGCATGTTGTTGCATTCGTAGTTCAGCTTGGGGATATATGTGTCAAAGTCTAGTTACTTCACCATCAATGTTGGTTCGTTCGCATATACGTTGGAATTCCTCCTCGCGAATACGTTCTAATTCTAGTTCAGCTTCTTTTGCTTGCTTTAAACGAGCTTCACGAGTATTTATCTCGAGTTTATACATAAATGTAAACCATTCTCTGGATCTAGGAATAATAAAGGAACCATTGTCATCATAGACAGGATCAGGCAGAATGATATCCCGATATTTGACAGGGATAAACATGTTGGGTATAGGATTATAAGGCCAAACTGTATGTTCAACCAATGTGACATCAGTAGTCCAAAGCTGAGGTATAGCTGGTCCATAAAAACAAGGGATGTTAAAATCATAGTTCTTTTCATCGGGAATGGTGTCAACCTTTTTGTAGTGTAAATGTTTGATTTTTTTATTGATCTTTTGAGAACCTAAAAATAGATAACCACATTTGTGGGCTGCCGCCAATTTAGTTGATGCGTTTGCGCCGGGTTTAATAACTTGCTGGTTGAGAACACGGCAACAAGAACGTTCGAAGCGTTTATTTTGTCATTTTGCTGTCCGATGATTAGGACTTGTAGTGATTTTAAAATTGCTCAAGAGTCTGTGATAAATGTTCGTATGATTTTTCTTGACTGGACCACGGTAATTGCATACCATATATCTCGAGGTATAAGAGACGCCTGTTCATAATGAAGTAATAGATTTAGATTCCTTTTCTTTCCATCAGTTGTAAATCAAATTAGCATGGAATGCTTTATTTTGTTGTCTATTAAAAGGGATAACATCATTATCATTATTTTGAGTGAAAACTGTCTTCGACTGATATTTTTTGAAAAAGTGAACGCCACAACCATGATGTGAACAGAGGTAATTGGTCTGCAAAGACGTTAAACTAATACAAGTGATTTGGAATATCAGGTGATTAATTTGTAGATCATGACGTTAAGGATGAAGTAATTAGTTTTACAAAATTAAATAATATTAGGATAATCATTTTGGGATAAAATGCCACAAATATTGAAATAACATTTGTGGGAAATTTATTTTTGAGGAATCGCGCAGTACCCACAAGTGAAATTATGAATTTAGCCTATAAAGGTACAAATATAAATAGAGGTAATAATCTAACTTCCCCAAGGGATAGAAAAAAGTTACAAATTCGAGAAGATGTAAATTAATGGAATTAAAGGTTATTGATATGGGAAAACTATCGCCATTATTAAACCAAGCATATTATTGTATTTATTTATATTATTAATAAAGTATAATTTTGCTAATATCTAAGGTGGCAACATGATTTATCACGGGCTTAGGTATTACACTGGTTAGAAAATTGATCCGTTATAGCGATTAGCGAATATCGAGCTTTTACTAGTAAACTCCGGTATATCGAAACTATTTTAATATACGCGATTTGGTTCCGGCAAAAAAGTCTGTTCCAGTTTATCGAATTTCACTGTGTATTAGCTTCTAATGAGGTCAACAACACAATTGAGTATTATTTCAAATTTTTATAACAATAGAAGGGTGTATTTTATTTTTTTTTATATACTTTATTATACATTCTATATATGCACGGTAATAAAAAAAAAAATAAACTTTATTAACGAATCCTAATTTTATTAACCTTTTTTTTTTGATAATATACTGTAATAATGAATATAAATGTACTCAATTAGTAGAATAGATATTAAATACATGTCTCTAAATATCTTCGTCAATCACTCCTAAAATGTAAGTAATGTGCTACAAGAAGAAACCCATAATTACTAGTGGCGTAACTTTCATTGTTGCTTTTCGGCCACTATTTTTGGCATTGAAGAGTAAATGTATTCCAATTTTTATTATAAACTTTGTTAGAAGTTGATACTTTTTATTTGGAAAAAATCAATGGCTATATTTTACACAGTTGATCAATTAAAATAAGCAATATTGAATGAAACTAGGCCAAGTAAAAAACTATAAACCTAAAATTAGGAAATGTACAGTTGATCAATGCAAGCATTTGCAACATGCATAGTTGTAGAATTTTTTTCCAATCATGCATATAGAACAAATACTGACTACATATCGAATAATAATTGCATAATGCAATTCACGCATGCATTAATGGGCTTATTTGTAATATCATAACGCAGAAAAAATTTTTTTTCTAAAAAAAAAATAAATAAATAAATAAGCTCACTATTCAATTATATGGCAAAATGACTTCGGTAATAGAATGGATTGAGGAAAAGATAAAGAATGAGTATATTCATTATTTTGAATATGATAAATTTAGTCATTTTTATGAAGTTGGTAGAGGAAGTTTTGGTGAAGTGATTAAAGCAAATTTGGCTAATAAGGGATTAGTCGCACTAAAAATTATTTCTAGTAAAAATTCGAAAGAGAAACTTAACGAGGTTAATGACGAGTTCGTCAAGGAGGTAGGAATCGTTAAGTTTATGCTGTACATTATACAGAATTTAGCTTATAAAATTAAATATATTTTGTTTTATCATATTTTTTCTTTTTTTAGCTAAAACTCCTTCGTGAAATTGATTATCATTCAAACATCAATCGTATTCTGGGAATAACAAAAGGTTTATATGTTAAGATACTTTTTTAAATTATTCATTTATAAAGTTCAATATAACTTATTTTATATTTAAAATTAACAGACTCTAAGTCTTATATTTTGGTGTTGGAATATGCCAATGAAGGAAATTTAAGAGATTATTTGAAAAATAATTTCGCTTTTTTGAAATGGAATTATAAAATTAAAATGGCATTGGACATTACTAACGGATTGAAATTTTTACATTCCAAAGAAATAATCCATAGAGACTTGGTAAAGGAGTATTAATTTTATAGTATTTTGTTCGTGATGATAATTTTAATAAATACTGTCAATTTATAGCATTCAAAAAATATATTAGTGAATAATGGAAAATTGTTAATTGCAGACTTTGGATTATCTAAAAAATTAGCAGAAGTTACAACTAGTTCAATGGGTAATAAAATGGGAATGTATGAATATATTGAACCACAATGTATTAAAAATATCAAGTATAAAAAAGATAAGAAGTCCGATATCTATAGTTTAGGTGTTTTATTATGGGAAATTTCGAGTGGGCGTCCTCCTTTTCATGATTATTATAATCGGAATTTATTAGCTATTCACATTAGTTTTAACAATCTTAGAGAAAAACCAACTGAGGGTACACATTCTAAATATCAACAACTTTATAAAGAATGTTGGGATGACGAACCAAAATCAAGGCCTAATATTGAAGAAGTTTATAAAATTTTAAACACAGGTAATATAGATATAAAATAATACAAAGATAATTTAAAAATAAGTATAAATATTACAGGTTTACTCTCCATTTTCATTTCAAAGTTCTAATTCTTTGATAATTTTTGGAAGTGACCGTCAAAAAATCCAAAAAATCTGCAAAACACCAAATTCCATTCTTTAGACTACCATTTCCGCCAGAACTGACAGTTGAAGAGATCTTGCGCAGTGGGACAAAAGATAAATTTAGGTCGAATCCTCCAAACCGATACTTTATATACAGACTCGCATTCCTTAAAGAACTTAGAAAGCGAACTGCTGATGATATTGCGCCTATGTCGAAAATATCGGCTCACGTTAGTTCTATGTGGTTCAATGAATCAACTCCAGTAAGAGATGTCTATAAAGAACTGTCTGATCAAGTGGAAAGTCGGCTAAAGGAAAAATCAGTTCGCATCAATGAGTCATATAAACCATTATCCTATTGAGTTATGCTTCTGTGAAGCATGCTGGAATAATTTTATTAATTGCGGGCAATCTTGAATCGAAATTGGTTTTCGATTATTTTTAATTTGTTTCATATTATTTTTTTTCTTTCAGGGTATTTATTTTCGTTCTTCAATTTTTTATTGGTATATTTCACATGATGATGTTCTTCATGATTATACTGTTATATCGTATTGGCTTTTCCCGTTCAAATTTCGTTGTTTTTCTTTTTTTTAAGACTCGTTTCACCAGAATTTGGTAATTTGGTTTTAATATTTGAATAATGTAAAGCCATAGTTCAACTAGTTCATGATTTTAGATTAAGATTTTTTTTCCATGCATTAAGAACCCTTTAAGTTGGTAAATTATTGGAGAGCTTGAAATCTTTTTATCATAACAGCGTTGCACAATTATGCTCAAATTTGATATATCGATAAAAACCTGAAACATGAATGTTTTCTACATATTAAAAACCGCTTAAATAAGATGGATGAAATAATTTGATAATTTTGGTTTGATAGGATCCATTTGATAATTTTTTTTTTCTTTTTAATAGAATCTGTTTAATATTTTTTTTTTTTATAGTGTATTTGATAATTTTTTTTTAGTAGGATATATTTGAAAGTTTTTTTTTTGATAAATGAAAGGATTGAAAGGTCCATGTGAAAAAAAATGATCATCACTACATATCTTTAAAACGCTTATTTCTTATTCCTCTATGCTTAAATATCCTGATCAAATCAAAAAAAAATAATGATCAGCCGAAATTTTTGATCATAAATGTAACTTTTGCAAAAGAAAAATATTCAATATTTCATTTTTAATTAATTAAAGTATAGAAGATGATAATTTTTCAATATAAATTTTTTTTACAAAAAGAGAAAGAGATAAATTAAAAATGGATATTGATTTCCAGTTTATTTGAATTTCTTTAATAAAAACCGAGACGAAATTTTTTCTTGCAAAAAGAGAAAATGAAAAAATATGAAGCGATTTCCATTTTTATTTATTTTGAAAATTTTTTAAATTAATCGTCAATTTTATGAGTTTACGAAAAATTCCAAAAATTACGTACCATACGTCCGTACCGTACTTTTCCAGTACTTGTCCTATATATACTACATATATTATAAAGCCGGTTGATTTTTTTATATTAAACGAACATTAATGTCCAAATAACTACTATAATTAAATGAACATTAGTCTCCAAATATGGTTAATTAACATTGATGTCCAAATAATCAATATGCTAAACCCTATTTTACAACCGGCCCGGCCCGCACTTGGAAATTACAGCTGTTTTCATATTATTCAGGACAAAGTAAAATTTTGAACCCGACATCCGGTCCGGTTTGTCGGATGTCGGATTGTCACGTGGATCAAGATTTACTAACTTTTCGTCCTTAGATATGAGTTTTGGAATAAGATTATTCATTTCTTGATCATCTACATTTGATTTCACCTTCTGATATAACTATCGGACCAACCTTCGCAGTTTCAAAGAGATTTATACATGTTTTCTTTGTTGTTTTGATTTCATATTTGTTGATGTAACTTTTGCATGTTAACAAAATCTAAACTCTCAGGAACTTTATGTATAGTAGGTATAATATTATCTTTAAACTATGCAAGAAAGGCATATCTATATTTTATATACCCATTTTTTGTAATTGGTTTGTGAAGAGATCCTCTTAGTTTTTTATAAGAGTCTTTGGTGCACAAATACAATTATTCCACTTTTTGCACAAGTTATAGTCCTAATATTTGTCCGATATGTTTTAGTTTGATGATGCAGTTTGAGACATTTATATATATATATTTGGAAAAAATAAATATTATATGATATGAAATTTTGAATCAATGAATTATATCAACGAGTTAGTACGTTTAACTATTTTAACTATTATCGTTACGTAAATAAACAAACGTGACAATCCGACATCCGACATACCGGACCGGATGTCGGGTTCAAAATTTTACTTTGTCCCGAATAATATGAAAACAGCTGTAACCTAAAGTGCCCGGCCTGGACCCGGATTATTATTATATCATTTTGTTGTTAAAAACAGAAAAATCGGCCAACTTAATTTTGGGCAGTTTAATTTCGGCCGGAATTAATACGATTTTGGCCAGAATTACGAAAATCTGGGTTTACTGTAAGGCCCGGATGAATTTTGAAGAAAGATTGCCGGCCCAAACCAGATCCAGGTCCGGGCAGGGTTAGGGTTTCCGGGTCCCGTTTGCAGACCTCTACTAAATGTACGTTATTTGGACATTTAATTTTTGGACATCAATGTCCATTTAATATTTAGGCATTAATGTCTATTTAATATTTGGACATCAATTTAATATTTGATATTAATGTCCATTTAATATAATAGTTATTTGGACATTACATGAAAAAAAAGAAAAAAAGGCCATACTGAATATTTATATAATAATCAGATAGTACGTTAATCTATTAAATAGTTTTCATCAAAGTCCTGAACCAATTAGATCATTTAAAGTAAGTCTTGTAGATTTTCTTTTTTTTTGCGTCTAATTGTCTAATTACAAATATTTTAGCTCACAAAAAAAAAACACTTTTACTGGAACAAGAATGTAATGTACAAACCATATTTGATGATATTACCAACCTTACAAAACAGTAAGAACTTTATAGTAAATGTATTTAAACCATTACATATAATTCGATGCATAATAATCTATTTCATAATTTAAGGGCTATTATATTTTCAGAAATATAATGTTTGTATATTTTCAAGATACAGATAATTTGTCAGTCTATTTTGTAGATGGAAATACTAGTGTTGAGAATATTGTGTAGATATTACAGCTAATGTGCTTATATCTTATGATATTAATGTCAAAATAGTAGCGTTTCAATCGTTTCATGTGGACAGTATATCAATAATATTATCTTGTCATACATTTGATTGAATGAGTTATTCAATGAAAATCCACCTAATACAGTTTATAATGAAGATTCTGGTACTTTAAAGGTCAATCTCATTCATTCTACCTTACCCACAAAATTTCAGAAAACTAAGATAGAAGATATATATTGAAATTGGAAAAGATAATGTGGGAAAAATTGTTTATTTATTATTTCATAATGCCAGCAATAGAATAGCAGAGGAGTTATCTTTAGAAGAGAGGGAATTCATGAAAAAAGATTAAAGCTAAGGAAAAGTCTGAGACTTAATGATTGGTTTAAAATCAGTAATTCAGTATTCATAAATTTGTATCATATGCTTTTAAATTTAAAGTATATTTTATTTTTTTCCTAGAATTTTATATTTCTCAAAATTACAATTTAATGAATCTTAACTTGCATTTTTTTTTGTGAGAATAGTAATATTTGTTGCTTTTATGCTTGAATCTAATCCTTATAAATTAGAGGATGGGAATTGCTGAAAACGAATATGATTAATAAACTTTTTTTCGCAAAAAAATATCTGATCAAAAGTTCATTGAGCTTTCCCAGTTTCTATGATAAATTTATTATAGCCAAAATGGCATGTAACTAGGGGTCGCGTTTAACTCACCGACAATTGCTTCACCGACAACCGTTTCACTGACATATAAAATTAAATATAAAAATTTTATAAATATTTTTACATATATCTTTGTATGAAATGGGGATTTTTTTTGTTAGTAACACGTATTTCTTTGTTAGATTTTATAAAATACAAAAAACTACTATTATAGATTTACTTAGGGAATAGCACATACTTTTTACAATAGATTAGTTTTTTAATAAATGTAATAATGTTTGTTGTGATAAAAAACTAAAAAGTTTATTATATAAATATATTTTTTTGTTAGTTTTTAAGTTTTTATTATTTTAATGAAATTTATAATAACATATATATAAAAAAAAAAATACAATAGATATAACTACACAGTGAAATTCGATAAACCGGATATTCGATAAACCGGATTTGGGCCTAAACCGGACTTTTTTGCTGGAACCAAATCACGTATATTAAAATAGGCTCGATATACCGGAGTTTACTAGTAAAAGCTCGATATTCGCTATAACGGATCAATTTTTTTATTTTTTATTTTTAAGATATAGACTCGACTGGGGTCAAACGCTAAATAGGAATAAACATGGTCTAAAAGATCAATAAATTCTAAGCTAGTGTTTTACCCAACCTCTCAGGAGAAGCCTGAAGGGGTCGTCTTGCCCATTATTCTATAGAACAATCAAGCATAACCTGGAGTCTAAAACGGACTATCAAATGCAAACAACCGAAACATAAAAAAGAAACAGCCCGTATTTTTCTTTTCACCCACCAGGGTGACCACCTGTAAATACTGTCAGAGGTGGAATGGTTCACACTATTTTTAATTGTTCTAAATTAGTTAAACTTCTTTTTACGCTAATAAGGAGTAATGTAGATTAGTGTAAAATGAAGGAAAAAGGGCTATTAAAGTTTTGGACTCATTACAAATGTTTACATAAAATAGGTTAAAAGTAACAAAATCTAAGATTTGTTCGAACTAGAAACAGGGGAGTCAATAGGGTAACCCGTATCCAGTCGTAGACGTTTAAATTGGTCTCTGTGAAGATAACGATCGCAGATGTTAGTAAGTGTGTTCCGTTTCTTGGGACGAACTTCGAGGCTTTTGGTATCGTCAGAAGTGTCATTATAAGCGATGTCCTCGAGGTGTGGGAGCATGAATCGTTTTGGGAGGGAGTCAAAGTAAGTAACGTAACGTCTTCGTTCACGCTGATAACGATTGTTTGAACAGCCGCTGGTTGCATAATTCATGAACCGGTCATGCACTGTTTGTAGTTTGGTAAGGTGGGTCGTAGTGTCTAGATGACGTTGAAGGTGTTTGGTGCTAGTGCCGTGATAAAGGTGTAAAGTTGCATCACGTTTGGCCTTAGTTAGCCGACGTTGAAATTCTTTAGGCTTGAGTTTAGTACGCCTATTTGATTGTAATTCCAGTAACTCGGCCACTTGGTCGGGTTGTTGTCTTAATGCGTAGGAGTCTTTAACAACTCGTAACCATCCATCAGAATCAGGTGGTAAATAACGTCCGTATACATCATAGATGGGAGATCTAGGGACGAAAGGTGTAAATTCATCACCTAAGGACTTTCCAAACGGGTTGTAATTTTCCACTGTCGCAATCATCTCGTGCGCGGGATGTGGTGAAAAAGTAATACTATCATTCGACATCAAATTGTCTGTAGAGTTGTTGAAGTTAAAATCATTCATCGAGATTTCTGATGAATTTAATTTAAATTGGGGTGCATTTATAGGAATATCAACTTGGAATACGCTGGAGAACACAATCTTGGGTTCATCTAATAAGAGGTCTTCTTTAGGGGCCAGAGGTCCACCAATCCGTTCATAGAACGGAATGCGAAATGGGTAAGCATCAGCATCAGGAATCGCTGATTTCCGGGAGTAAGTAAGATGTGAGAGGGTTTTGTGAATAGTTTGACATTTGTGAAAAAGAAAATGATTTTTTTGAGCAGCTTTAAGTTTCACTTCGAAACCAATACATGCTGAATCATAACGGGTATTAAAAACTCTGTTGCAATTTCTATCGAAACGCTTCTGTTGATTCCTTTTAGTCTTTGAGTTAGGAGAGGGTATAAATTTGAAATTATATAACCGTTTAATGTACATATTACGGTGACGGGAGCGTATAATGTTTTTATTGCTGGCGGCCAGGTATTTCATAGAGTATTCAATGCCGAGGCGTCGAGAAAAAATTCGTTTTTCAGTGCCTTCATTCCATCTATGGTAGAGGTGTGTAGCATGGGAAGTTTTGGAATTAAGTAAAACTTGATTTTGTAGACTATTATGTTTAGTAAAATGGAAAAGTCGAGTTCGGAAGAACTCTTGTTGATGATCGACACAAGCGTGACGATTATTAGTCATAACAAAAGGACTAGGTATATGGCAAAGAGATAGGTCTTTGGACTTTTTCAAAGTCATTAAATGTTGGCAAGGTATATAACAGCCGAAGTGAAAACGATATCTCTTGTACGAGAAATTGAAGAAAGTTTTGGAAGATTTTTTATGTTGACTTCCAGGGTGAGGGTGATCTTCATTATCGGGTAAGAGATTATTGCCTGCACGTGATCTGATAATATTAAACTGATCCAATAGCTTGCGGCGGATAAGGTTAAAATATCTTTGTTGTATACGTCGTGGTATGACTCGTTGTAAGGAAAAGAAGTGCGTGAGCATTTTACTAATTTGGTATTTGTTGTTGGGGAATGGACTCGTTGAGGTATACCGAATCGGTTTAGTCTGCATGTTGTAATCATTTGTATGTATGATTAGGTGAATATCATTGGTGCCTGAAAATTGATCGGCCAGCTCAAAAAAGTAACTTTTTGAGCGTCTAAATTCATAAATCTTGTTATAACCGGTACGATTATTAATATTCACGTGAAATTTTTTCACCGAAATAAGGAAGCTATATTCAATGTGGGAAGTGGGTTTTTGAAAAATATTTTGTGAAGTAGGGAAAGAAATAGCCTCTAGTGGCATATATTCTTTAGAGATAGTATTATATTCCATCTCTGATTCTTTCAAGGGACGGTTGAGATAAGAGGAAGCCTTTCCGTGGAGGNTAAACTGTCTCTTATACACATCTAGATGTGTATAAGAGACAGGAACCAAATCACGTATATTAAAATAGGCTCGATATACCAGAGTTTACTAGTAAAAGCTCGATATTCGCTATAACGGATCAATTTTCTAACCAGCTATAGTAAAAATGATTCGATAAACCGGATCACGTGACTGGGAACCAATAAAATTTAAGTAACGTGATGCGGTAAATCTTAAATTTGGCCGGAATTATAAAAATCTTAATTCCGGCTGAAGTTAAGTATTACTTATATATTCAATCAAAATATTTTATATTCATTTTCATGACCTCTATAACTTAAAACTAGATGAAAAAAATCAAATTATAGTGTATATTAGTTTTATTAGCATGAAAATTTTTTAAAAATTCAATATAATAGATTTTCAATATATCGAAATTTTTTCGCTAAACCGGATATCCCGATAAACCGGATATTTTTAGTGGAACCGATAGATCCGGTTTATCGAATTTCACTGTGTATATGTTATTCTATCAACTAACCCGTCTAAGATGGAAGTAAAGTATCAATACTTATTAAATCTAAACTAAATATCCAAAAAAAAAGTTTTATAATAAAATATCTCATATTCAATATTTATTTTTTATGTCGGTGAAATGATTGTCGGTGAAACGTTTGTGATTGTCTGTGAAATGAACCAGACCCGTAACTTAGTACACAAATCCGCCGATATGCATATCATATACTGTAGCGATTATATTATCATTTATCTTGTAAAAAAAAAAATACTGTAGTGCCTATATTATAAGTTAAGGTTTCAAAATTTTACATAGTTTCATATAACAATATATATACTTATTATAAAAAATTTAAGAAAAATTTTTAGTCATCCTGGCCTTAAAGGAATGACTGATGACTGATCACCGTAAAAAAAAGGTAGCTGCGGCTGATCACATTATCCTAAGAGGGAGTCACCGGACAAATTAACCAAATTTGATCGGGCATCTTGCAAGTTTTTTTAATTTGACCCATTTAAAAAATAATAGAATGATTTTTTTTTGCAGTATTTCTTAATGTAAAAAAAAAATATCATCAATGTATCTATTAATGCAAGATGCCGATCATTTGTTAAACGGGGACATCGTCCGGATTGTCCAGTGATTGTTAACTTTAAAAAAACATATCTGATTAACCGGAATTGGATTAGCCACCTGTTACGCTGTAGCAGGATTAAATCATACCAATGGTATTTTTCCTTTTCTTGTCCTTACATAATGTTCAGGAACCATTTGGGTTACAGCATTCACATTATATTTATAGAAAAGGAAGTATCTGATTTATAATTTATAATTAAAAAATTTATCACAATTAGTCAAACAAAATGTATAATAGTAAAAAAAAAATATTGTACTAAAACCAAAAATAAAAAAAAAAATAGACTAAAAATTTTTTTTCGGTTTGAACTGACAAAAAATAAGAAAAAATGTTTAAAAAACAAAAATAAAAAAATGATTAAAAAAGAAAATTTATCATTCGACATTGAATAAAACATAAAAATTAAAAAAAAACTTGGTAAAAAAATTTAAAATTTATTTTTTGCTTGAGCCGAAAAAATAATAAAAAAAAAAAATGATTAAAACAAAAAATTTATTCTAAAGAACCAAAAAAATAAGAAAAAAAATGTTTTATGCGAAGTAAATCGAAGAAATATGAGGGATCTACGAAGAATTTCAAATTCATTGCATGTGTATAATATATTCACATACAAGAAATTCAGTATCCGGATCCGGATCGTACCTAAACAAAAAAAAAAGTTACCAGATTCCTTAACGGGTATTAACCGTTTTTACCCGTTTAGCACTTTACCATATTTGACCTCGGGATATAATCCACAAAAAATTTGTAAATAAATATGTATGTTTCTGTACGATGCTGCGTTCATAAAGTTAATTTGATCCCTATTTGTTTTTTAAATTAATAATAAATATGAATTTATTAGTAATATAGCAGAAGACAGTTCAGCTGCTACTAAATTCCAGACCAAACTAGATCGCGCCTATTTTGAAATTAGCGATAATAATACAGAAAGTGTATTTCCTCAATGTAAAGTTATTGAAGATGGTGAAATGGAATGCATTTAAGGTTACTAACGGAATGAATTGAGTTAAACAAATAATGCTTTTACTAAAATAGTGGGTAGCGAACTAGACTTACTAAGAATTAAATTTATTTTGCTTATGAAAGCTACATAGTTATAAAATTCTTATTTTGAAACAAAAATGTCTTTCAAATTATATTAATAAAACACATTAAATTTAGTTTGAAACAATACAATTCTGTGACTCGGATATTCACAAATATCCGGGTATATCCGGATTGTATCCGAGTAAACGGATAACGGGTCGCAGCACTACGGCGTGATCTGCTGCGGCCGATTGCATCATCCAGAGGATGGAATTACCAAAAATGAAATATGATTAAAAATCTAATTAAACTTTTCGTTGGCAATTATCTATTAGCAAAAAAAAGTGTCAATTAAAATTTCATTAACCGGAACTGTGAGAACATATACAATCAAATTATTCTAACCATAATAAATACGGATCATGTTAAGTTATATATTTCAAATTTCAATTTGATAAAACTCTCATAAATATGCATATAATATTTACAATTAATTTCCAATCCGTCTAAATTCGAAATTTGATGATTGCACGAAGTCTCTCCTTTACCATAACAAATATGCAACTTTTTTTTGCTTACTTTATTTTCGCATAAGTATTATGAATTTTATAACATATAAATAAGTTTAATAATTGTAGTGTTTATTATTGTGAAAAAGGAGTTTACATTGTACACGTGCTTTATCTGCTTATCTGTTATTGCAAGATTTACAAACATGCAATTTTTTAGTGTATTCTTTTTTTTAGGGGCACCAATAATAACAATTTTAAACATTTAACTCACAAATCTTAAACTCCAATATCAAAATATAAGCAATTTCGAATGAATAATCAAGAATTAGTTTTTAAGGATCTGAATTGTTTGATCATCATAACATTCTTTGGAACGTCGGTTCTGGAATGTCGTTGAACAGCTGTACAACAAATAATTTTACCTAGGGGTTAGATAAATAAACGGAGAGGCAAACTCAAAATGTTACACAGGCTATCACTCATAAATTGGTTACACAAACGAATTTTCATATTAAAATTTCACTTTTTTTTATTTTTTCGACACGTACGCATAGAAAAGCAGCCGATCTCAGAATCCAAGGTTGTATATGCCAACTCTATATAGGCGAAGTTTTTTTATTAAAATTAGATCACTGGTTGCTTTGTTCTTAATTTTATTTTTTTTTTTGCTCTTTTATGATAGAAAGTTAAAATTACATCTTTTTTTTTTCAAGATTTCAACAAGTATATACTAAATATTTTATGTAAAACGGTTTAAAATAGCCTTTTCTTTTATTATGTATTATTTTCAAGTGTGTGATAAAATTTATATCTTTTTGAAATTTTTAAAAATATAGACAGAATATTTCAAAAAAAATTATTTACATTATCGATTTATCATTTTTTTTTCATAGATTATATTGATTATCGACAGATCTTTCACTTTTAATCTTGGGTAATATTATTATTTTACCGGCATAGTAAATTACTGTTCTGGCGATGTCTGTGTAACATTTGAGCTCCCTAGATTTTACAATGGGTCATGTTTCAGTAACAGTGTCATGTTTCAGTGTCATGTTTTAGTTTATTCTGTAATACTGTAATATCAAATAAACTGCGCTGTTTTGAAAAGAAATAATCTCAGTTTTTATTTATATATATAAAGATACCCATATTCTCTCTTTTTTTCATCTACATTTTCCAAAAAATTTATTTAGGAAAATGGATTCAAATATCCAAACTTCTCAAGATGATTCTGATTTACCTACGTATCAAACCGGAAATAGCTTCGTACCTTATAATAATAGCAATGACCAGCACGCTTCCATTAACAACTTAGGAGCGTCTAATACTAATAATACAACTCTCGCACTTCAAAACGACACATTTGAGTTTTACTTTCCTTTATCAAACGATACACGCATCTATCACGTTACATATCAATATACCGAATTACATCCATTGGACAATGCGCGACTTTTGAATAATAACATTAATTTATCTCGTATTCCTGACCATCAGTTACCACTTCATTATAATATTCAATCCTTGATTCGGCAACAAATTCAGCAGCAACAAGTCCAGAAACCCGTTTATCAACAAAATAACGGCCAACAACAATTGTTTGATTCCACTATTCAACCTATTTCTCAAATATATTCTGATAATAGTAACGGTTATAATACAGTTTCTAATTCAGTAAACGGAACTATTACTGATAATGTTCAGCAGGATACAGGATTTCAGAATTTTTCCTAAGGATCAAATTCGGTTAGTATATTTTAAGATGAATGTTTTCTCCTTCATTAAGAATTAAGTTAAGATGTTAAATTAAGCTAAATTTCTAAGATGTAAGATATAAGCTATTAAGTTTTAATGTAAATAAAGTGATTCATACAGTATGTGTTTTTTTAATTAGAGATTGGGCATTTTTTATTTATTTCGCAAATTAATCAAATATGTAAGTTATCATTTTATATATTTTTTTTGGTTATCCTATCTTGTTGCATATTTTGACTATCACCTTAAAAATCAATGCATATATTAAGCGGCTGTTATTCGTACCCCTTACCTGTGTAATAAAGCCATAATCAGATAATCTATAATCACGTTATTAAATTTTACTGCGCCATTCGTTTGAAAATTGAAAGCTAAATGACAAACGAAGAAATCCTTCTGGATTCGAGTTAGTGGGTCACAGAGTGAAAAAATGTACTCTTTACCGTCAATATAAAAATGCAGTAAAAATACAGTAATTCTTGCAATTGCCAATTAAAATTTATTTATTTATTTATTTATTTTATGTGAAGCCGGACAGACTATTAAACAGAACATATACCCAAAAGGGTTGAATTATCCTACTTCTAGCTATCATCCATCACGAGGACGGACCCGAACTTCTTTAAAGACGTTGGACTCAGCCTGATCCCCCTCCACTACCGAAAGAAGAACAGGAACAATTGCCAATTAAAATATTTAGACTTCGTTTTTACGCACTTTGCAAAAATAAATAACGTGATTGTAGATCGTCCGTTCACATGGTTTACTACAGGCAGTAAACAAAAGTTGCAGTCGCCCATTAATATTATAAATATTATATTTGAGTTATACATGTTATCATAAAAATTATGCGAAAATTAATAAAGTTGCTTTAATAATTTTATGACTCACAATCACGCTTAAAATTTTTGCGTTTTGCATTTTTAATATTTTACTTCGCACTTCCCTTCCCACTGAAAAATATGATTTTGAAGATTTTATCAATTTTGATGAATTTGAATCTTTTGAATAAAATGCTCCTATGATAATAATCATGATGAAAGCTCACCTCAATCTCATCAAACTTCACCAACATGTAAGTATCTTAACGAACAAACAACTCAACATCCAGGATATCCAGTTTAGTTGTTGCAAATGTCAGGAAATGTCAAGAATATAGGAAAGAATCAAAGTACTTTGAATTTTAGCCCTATAAAAAATATGTATACGGAAAGGATACATTTTGTATACATTTTATGTACGTTTCTATAGATTCCGTATACAAATTCCGTATATTTAATAAGTAATTCATTTTTGAACATTTTTTTAAAAAACTAATGTATACGGAAAAAATTAATCATGCGGAATGTATACGGAATTTTTAAACTTAATATTTTTAGTTACAAAAATTCCGTATCATAACACGAGATCACATGATTGTTTATTGTTTTGTTATGATACGTTTTTTGTTTTTTAGTCCGGAGCGTAGCGAAGGACTCTATATGTTCTAGCCGTGGTGGTACAAAATATCCCGTTGTCCGTCCGCTTGTTCTTTGAGTCGACGTTTAATTGGTTTTTATATTACACGAAATTATCTCGATCGGTTAATTGAGCATGTGGTTATCTACCTATATACTGATAAGCTCCGGACTACGTAACGGTTTACCGTTTCCCTAGTATATAAACCCTTACTTTGATGAGTTTGATCTTCCGATCTTCCTTTCTGTCTTCCCTTTCCTTTCTCTTTCTCTTGTCTTATTTTTGTTATTTTTTCTAAATTTTTCTTCTTTCTTCGTCACCCCCTTTTAAAAATAATTTTTTTTTTCGTACCTCACTTTAAAAAAATTTTTTTTTCGTCACTCTCCTTTGAAAAAAAATTTTTTCTTTTATTCTCACTCTTCTTTTTTTTTAAAAAAAATTTCTTCTTTCTATTTCTATTTCCTCTTTATAAAAAAATTTTTATTTTTCTAACTTTGACGTCCTCCCTTTAAAAAAAAAATTTTTTTTTGACTTTCCTAACTTCGTTATCCCTCTTTTTAAAAAAATATTTTTTTTGGTTTATTCTTTATTCCCTTTCTTCTTTATTTATATTTAATTTCATAGGCCAGCAGATTTTTTTTGTGAGAATATTCAGTTTCTTTCTTTTTTTTTCTTGTAGATCAGTTTGGGAGTCCTTTTCTTTTTGTAGGATGATTCAGGATTTTTTTCTTTTTTTAGGTCAGTTCAAATTTTTTTGTTTTTTGTATGTTGGGTTCAGATTCTTTTCTTTTTGTAGGTTGTTTCAGTTTTGTTGCTTCAGAGTCTTCTTTTTTTGTAGGTCAGTTTTGGATTTATTTTGTTGTTTTGGTTTCTTTTTCATCAGATGCTTTATAATTCTTTTCATTTATGTAGGTCAGACATTCTGGAGTTCTCTTTCTTTTTTTGTAGGAATGTTGACCTTTGGTGACTTGTATGATTGCAGATACTATATGAAGGGGGGGTTTTGTTTCCAATTAAGTTAGACGTTCTTATGTTTCTTTTTTTTGTTCTTTTAGGTTGTTTGACTCCAAATGAACCTGAACTTATAGATAAATTAGGTTGCAATAGGTGGTTTTAATAAAGAGGGAATTTTCATAATGTATTTGTACTTTGTTTATTTTTTATTTTTATTTAATTTAATAAAGTGAAATTAGATTTATGTAAATACAATTATAGTAAACTGTAATACAAATAGTAAATTCAGTGACCAAATCGTATAAATTTCGTGATAAAATCAGTGATCAAATCATGTAAATTCCATATAAATCCCGTGCAAATTCCGTATCCAAACCATATTTTTGGTGATACGGAATTGTGCATTTTTCCGTATCCTATTATGATACGTTATTTCTAAGGAAAAAAAATCGTATAAAAACTTTATAAAAAACGTATCTAATTTTTTTATAGGGTAGGCGAACTGATCCTTGACCTGAAAAGAAAAAAGTGAACAAGATATTGCAGTAGTAGGTGGGTAATTGGAGATGCACAACCTTTTTGTTCTGCAATTTAATATTATGATCAATAAATTTGACTCTTGATATCAAATTCCGGATAAAAAAACAATAAAAACTTTGGCAGTTGATTATTTTAAAGAAAAACGTAAATATATACAAGGTCTAAATGCAATTCCATCCTATCTCACCATTCTGATGCAAGGTTTTTATTCCTTGGAAATTAACAACATCTAAACGATTATATTGGAAAAGTAGGATTTAGTCAAAGTGAAGTAGCACTTCAAAAAATGGGAAGTAGTGGATTCATCTACTTAGTGTCTGCAGTACTAGATCCACGCACAAGACTCACTTTATTTTCCATTGGAGAAGAATCAACAAATGCAATTAGTGCAGTAAAAAGGCATTATTCTGAATATCATACACCAACGTCTCAATCAGCTGTAATTAATCATGATAATGGTGAAGTAGCAAGCACTCGTGAATACTTTCATCAATTAAAGAAGAGACGATAATAATGTATCAAATATTCCAAGACCATCAACTGGAATTTATGAAGAGATTGACTGGTATTTTTGTTTATCTAATATAGGATGCTTTACTTGCCATTTTCTAAGCTCAATTCGACAATTGCAGTATAATATATGAAGAGAATCTTTTTTTTTAATTTTTTATTCCGATAAACCCATAATAGTCATCACCTTCCGAAATAAGTGTTATTACAGAAAAGATGTTAATTCAATATCAAGATCAAGATTTAACTCCACATTTTCACCTTCATAATGTTCATTAGTATCATAACATCATTAGAGAAATTAAATGGTTGTATATAGTTTCAGTAATATCTGAATAATTAATTATTATGTCAGATTGTTCAGCATTTTTATTAAAACAAGCAATTTTAAGTACAAACATTTTTTTAAAGCAACACCTTTATCATTTAGAAAATTTACATAGCTTTGACGAACATGACATCCTTTACAAGTACTATTTTCCTGGTTTGACATTAGTGAAATAAGAAAGATAAGAAAAGGGTTATAGTGACGTGTCTGACGAGATATTTATAATCAATTTGTAATTAATATAACCGGAAATCAGTTTCCGAATCAAGTGTAGCCAGCAAACCTAGTTTATGATCACGGTATCAGTGTATCACATTCTTTAGTATATAAATGATACTATTAACGATGATATGAATAAGCTTAAACATTTTCAGCTATTTTTCGCGTCATTTTTTTTAAAATGCGAAATGATCACATGACCGACTTACACTTTCACAAAATGGATTTTCACCATATACTAGTTTAATGTGGTACGAAATCCCGAAATCCCGAAATCTAATGCTGGTCAGGTTCATCACGTGACACTGCATAATTCTGCATAACGCGGGCCATTGGATTTCGTACCATTCGGAATTTTGTACGGATCCCTCATAGGGGAGGGGTCATAGGGGTCATAGCTTTCACTATTGTTAAGATATTCAGATTTTAATACAACTTTTGTGTAGTTGAAAAAATAATTAATTAAATTGATTTTCGCGTAGTTAAAAAAATAATATAATTATAATGATCTTCATTCTACCCTCACTTAGTTAAAAAATTGACAAAAATACTAACCCCTGAATATAAATTAATAACAGAATTATGCTACGAATTACAAATTCATAAATTTCATATAAATTTAAAAAGTATTGAAAAATTGTACGAATTTTGTTTTAAATGAAATAATTACAAATTTAAAATATAAAAATTGTACAAATTTTGTTTATTAAATGTAATAAATCTTACAATAATTATACATTTAATTTTTATAAAATTTAATTCAACTATACGAATATTGGATGAAAATTGGACAATAATTACAAAAACTAAATAAAAATTGTCCAATTTTCACAATGATGTTAAATTGATATTGAGTATGATTTAGATAACAAAACTATACTCAACTGTATAGTGTATATTATCGAACGAAAAAAGTATCATATTTATATTTTTTTATTTATAATTTTATACTCAACTGCCATATTAAGTTAAAATTGAAAAGTATAAACAGAAAAATTTATTATTGGTTTTCCATAGCGACATAATAGAAAATAATAAATATAGTAAAATAATAAATATATGATATTTTAAAGTGTAAGTTCACCTATTAATGCATGGAATTCTATTGCGTCATAAATAGGTCCAAGTAATTGATCATTGAGTTCATCGAAAGAAGCATAATTACTATATAAAAGACCCAAATTCAAATTTGGATCATATTGTGTTATAAGAGGACCTCCGCTTGCACCCTCTCCTAAATTTAAGTCATGTACGTTATAATAATCATTTGTCAATATTGTTTTTCCTTGCCACATACAAAGAGTCTGTCCATTATTTGGACAATTTGGAAGATTACCTCCATTCGGATAACCTTGAATAGTTGTTGGAACATTGGTTCCTAGTTGGAATTCCCAACCGAGAGCTCCCGTATAATATTTTAATGGAAGATTTTCCATTTTTAAATTAAATAACACCATGCCCCAATCAAATTCATTATCATTATTATTAAGAAATTCAGGTGTTATTGCCATCTTGGCGATAGGAACTTTACCAAGTGGACCAGGTTGTCCATTGTCATATCCAGGAGAAAACATTACATTTTGAAAATATGCTTGAGCATTATGATTATAAAGACAATGCGCTGCAGTAGCTCCAATATTTCCATCATCAGTATTAATTACACTAGCGGTACAAGTAAAATCTTCACCATTCAAGCTCATAAATAACATTCCAACGGGAAAATTTTTAGGTTGATCTACATTTGCTACCCCAGTTTTTGTATCATATTTTCTCTCAAAAGGTTGCATAGATTTCGCATCTTTAGAGGAGTCAGTTGTATTTTTTATAGGTTCTACACTACTTCTTGTTCTAAATCCAATATTTTTAGTGGTTAAAGGTTTAGCTTTTTTCATTTTTTCTGATGTCCAATAATTCTCATCATATTTAGGAATCGTCGGAAGTGAATAACTTGAATCGGTTTTGAAGATTAGCACAACCAATGCAGTTAAGAAATAAAATATAATTTTTTTGTTCATTTTTTTTTTAATAAAAGTTAATTAAATAAAAAATAAATATTGTAAATGAATAAATAAAATATATTGGAGGATTGGTTTTGAAGAGAGAGGATAAATTTTAATTTTTTGGGCTTTTTTATCTTAAAAAATATATGGAAATCATCTTTGAAAAGATTCATTCTATTTATGAAATGTTCATATTATATCGGCCGGATTATAGTTAATAATAACAATGTAATAGCGGGGGTGGCTTGTATGTGTAATCGTAGCAAAAATATTTCGTTCTATTATATAGTCTGAGTAAATTGGTAGTTGTTCTTTTTTTGTTATAGAATACTTACTAACGCTTTTAAGATTCTTTTTAAAAAATAGATCGTTGTGTCACGTGATTTAGTACACATCGGGATTCTGGATTAAGCGATGATCTACAAATGATCGATTTCCTGCTTGACAGAAAATCAATAAAAAAAATAATTTGATCTACAAATGATCGAAATTAATAGGGGGTGATTTGTATATATTGGGAATGGAAATTCTTAATATTACCATATTGATAAAAAATACAACAATTTCATTTAAAGATAATCCCGAAATAAATTCATAAATGCCTATACAAAATACATTACTAATAAAGAAGTAAACTTTTTTCGTTAGCATTATGAGGAAAAACCAATCAAAAATTCATTAACCGGAACTGGATTAGCCACACAAATCTCTCTGATTGGCCATTAGAACTTACAGAATATAAGAAATATAGGTGTAAAGAGCCAGGCACATGTGACTTTTCCGTAAAAGGCTCATATTTCCGGAATTAATAACCTTATATTACGGAATTCATCGAATTATTTGCATTTTTCGTGAATGAATCCGGGAAAGGCTCATTTTTACGAAGTTTTTACAGAAATAGCGGATGAAATTTTTTATAGGGCTAGCTTTATCCAGCGGGAAAATGAGACTATTGTAGATTTTTCAGAAGAATAATTGCGGGGTAGTGCGTCGAATTTCCCTCCCTTAAAGTTTAGCTTCTGTAGGAGAAAAGCCGTCTATTGTAGAAAAAAATTTTCTGGTATTAATCACTCCGAAAAAATTTATTTATGATGGAGTTAATAAAATAATCTTCTGTCGCACTAAGTGTCACTTCTGATCACCTTCATACTAATTTTTAAAAATTGCGAGTGATTATCTGAGTTTATAAATGACCGGGAATCTTCGTATAGATAGCCGGGAAATTACTTATTTTAGTTTAAAATAGTTAAGTTTAAAACAGTTAATATTTAATGAGTGACATGGGATTACCATTCATTTTGAATAATGTGAGTTTTTTCCCCAAATAATTAAGTATATGAAATAATTTCACAAATTCACACATAAATCAATCCCCCATATTCCGTTATTTTTTTTCTCTTACAACATTTAGCGGAAATATTTTATTTATTTATTTTATTTACAGCTGATTTCATGTAAAACATTTTTTTTATCAAATTATTATAATTATTACTAAAAAAACATTTTTGCAACGTTTTTAATAAAAATGTTAAAAAAAACATTGCAAAATGTTTTTTTATCAAATTATTATCAAAAAACGTAGCGTAGTGTTTTTTTTGTTAAATTGTTATCAAAAAATCAAAAAATGTCTCATAACATTTTATTCGAACCACATATATTATATTATTTATTAATAAACGTTTTCGCGGCGTTTTTTAATAAAAATAGCAAAAAAAAAGTTTTTTTTCGTTAATGTTAAATTATTTATTGACTAACAAGAGTTCATGTTTAAAGGGGAGTTAGGCTATAAAATGTAAAATATAAGAATATGATTTATTTTGACTTGTTTATGATAAAACATAATGTAAAATTTATAAAAGGAAATTTGATTCTTACTTTTATAATTATTTTTTTTTTTAGTTATAATTATAACAAATGAAATCGTACCGTAACTACTATACTAGGAAAACGGAAACCGTGTAAGTCCTTCGTGTTGCATAACTCGCAAGTGCATCATGTTACGTGATCTATGTGTATTCGGCATATTTCAGGTAGATATATTCAAAAAAAAAAGGAAATAAAATTGTCGATAGCTAGGCCGGAAGCCTCGACCAAACTCCTCTAAAACGGGATAACATTACACCAGAGGAAGTCGTAGAGGTCATCAAGGATTATCGTGCAAAAAAGATAGAATACAAGCGATACCAAGAAGATGAAACTAACGCCGAACAAGCTATAAAGGATAAACTAACGGAATTCGAAAGGATCTTTTCAACAACTTCCAACGAAATGGAATGGGAAGAAATTAGAACGGCGGCTTTGAAAAATCTAGGGTCAGAAAAGGGTTTACGCGATTGGGATAAGATTAAGAAATGGGTGATGAGGACGAACAACTTCTTGAGATTGGGACGCAGAATCATCAGTTTGGCGGAACAAGGCGCTATATTACAAGAATATACCACGCTAAATGATGACTTCACAAAAGATTAAAGGACATGAATCATAAAACCGACGAGAAGTTAGCGGAAAAGAAAAGACAGAAAGAGGAGCAGGAGGTAAAGAAGAAGTAGAACGATAAGGAACGGAAATGATTAGTCACCAACCTGCGATCGAAGTCACGTAGTTCATGTAAAAAATATTCCTATGAAAAAATTTTTTAGCAGGAAATGACAAAGTTTGGACAGGAGTAGTATAGAGTTAATTTTTGTTTTCTGTAGGAATAACCGTGGAGGGAATAAGTAGAGACAATATACTGGACGTAGGGTTGTTGATTCTTATATATATATATATATATATATATACAGTGGGTTACAAAAAGTGACCGACCACCTAAAAATTAAATAAAATTAAATATTCTCATTAATAATTTTATTTTTATTCTAAAATTAAAAGTGTAAAAACTTATTTTGAACCATTTTCTTGCTTGATTAATGTTAAAATTGTATATAAATACTTAATTTTCAGAGTAGAAAATTTCAACATTTTAACCAAAGCAGATAGAGTAAAATAGGTATAGAAAATTGATTCCTTGACTAAAAATTAGCTTATTTTCAAACATTCAGAAAGATTCAATCAGTAGTTGTTGAGAAATCCACTTTTAAAAATCGGCAAAATTGATGATCTACATATAAAATTATAAGAATTTCACCAAAATTCATTGATTTTAAAAGTAGTTTTCTCAACAACTACTGATCGAATCTTTCTGATATTTTGAAGATAGACAAATTTTAAGTCAAAGAATCGATTTCTGGCATTTATATTACTATAGCTGTTCTGGTTAAAAAGTTGGAATTTTTTTCACTTTGAAAATTGAATATTTATACACAATTTTATTATTAATTACGTGAAAAAAATGTTCATAAAATGGATTTTACATTTCTAATTTTAATATAAATATAAAATTATTAATGAAAATGGTTGAATTTATTTAATTTTTAGGTGGTCGGTCACTTTTTGTAACCAACTGTATATTTGTTTTCTTTTCGAGTTTTTTTTAGGATTGTCTTCTTTAGTTAGGCTACTTTTCGTTTATGGATATAGGGAGTAGGAGATTTATTTATTAGGCTCACTCTTGCATTATTTGAACAATTAGAAAAAGTGACAGTATTTCTTCCTATCCACTATTTCTGATGTAAGCTTTTATTCCTTGGAAATCAACAACATCTAAACGATTATATTGGAAAAGAAGGATTTAGTCAAAGTGAAGTAGCATCATAAATTATTCAAAAAATTGATCAGTACTTCATTACGAATGTGAATTTTGTACAAAGTGAGTGGAGCTAATTTAATTAACAAATCCAAGAATTTGTCAAGATATTTATGCTCAATATACTCGTCTATACCTATTGCTTCCAAGTGTTGAGTATATTCTTTAATTCTTTCGGGGTATTACATATATTCAAAAATATTGTAAAATATTTTATATTTGGACAATATTTATGAATCGTCCGATTATATTCTTTTGCAGGAAATCTAATTTTAATTTTATAAAGATTTCCATTGATATTTTGAATTATTTTTATAACTATATGAAGTAATCTTTACTGGAACTTTTTTACTCTGAGAAATAAAAATAAAAGTAATGAATCAGCCAATTAAATTCTTTAAATTCTTCGCTATGATCTTATAGCGAATTTGAGGTGAAACCTTGTGTTTGTATAGATTATTAAATATTTTTTATTTGGTCAAACAAACTATTGAAATAATAAAAGAAATCATATTAATTTTATTGGCAATTAAGAATATAGATTTATATTTCACATTGTATTATAATAATTTTCATTGAATTCATATTAGAACCTTTATTTGTTGACTACATTAGAAATTTAGATTTACATAAAATCAAAATATGCTATAGTAATGATATATATACCCAATCATATATTTTTTTTCCATATTTCGTATATTAAACTAATTGTAACGCTCGAAATTTCTGATAACACCTAATTTAATATATTTTTCAATAATTTTCATATGTTCATCATTTTCTATAAAAGTATATGCATTTTTATCATAAATAATTAAAGAAAGTGATTTTTTTGATTCACGATTCTCCCAATTTTTTAAAAAAGATTCTAATTCACTTGGAAGTAATAATGAATTTGTATTATTTGAATAGCGTAATTCTAATTCATAAAAATTTCTAGGTGAAAATTTAACAATAATATCAAATAAAATTTTTTCACTAAAATATCCTTTACAACAAATTTTAATATATTCTAAATATTTTAAACTTTCAAAAAACATTTTTAATGTTTCCAATTGATTATTTTTAATTCCAGTAAAAAGTTTTCTAAGATTTGGACAATATTTAATTATAGCAAAATTTATTGATTCATTACTATGTTTAATATAAAATTCTTTTAAATTTTTTCCATTATTCATCAAGAAATTTATTAATAATTCATTTCTTGGATAACTATCACGAAATTCTAAATATTGTAATTTTGAAAATTTAATATATTGTAATTCATTAAAATCTTCAAAAGGTTCATTATTATAAAATGTAAAAATAATTTCTTGTAAATTTATAAATTTAGAAATAAATGATAATGGAATATAATGTTCACCCCCATAAATATATAATATAATCACAGTATTAGAAATCTTTTTAAATGATGTAATTACATCTGTTGTTAAATCATTACAATCATAAGATTGAAATATTTGTAAATTTTTTAAATTTTGTTGAACAGAAATTAAATCTGTTAATCCATTTGAAATAACGTTTTTAAATGTTATATCAAATAATTGTATATTATGACATATTTCTGATAATTGATAAAAAAATTGAGGACAAATATTTGAATAACAATATAATTCTGAAAGGTCTTTTAAACAATCTCTCGCTCCAATATAAGAAGTAAAAGTAATATTTGGACTTAATGATGAGCAATAAGTTAAACCTAATTTTCTTATAGAAGAAATTTTCATAAGATATTTAAATATTTCTTGTGAAAACATATGTAAAATTTGTTCCAAATTTTGAGTTGGAATAGATGTTTGTTCTTTAAGAAATTGTTCAAGATTATTATTAAATTTATCAATTGATAGAATTTTACAAAATGATGCATAATTAAACATTGGAAGTTTTGAAGCTAAGGATAAAGTAATAATTTTCTTTTCATATAGAATTTCTTTTGATTCATTTGGAAGACAAGTGATTAAAGTATTATAATTTCTAATTATATTCCAATAAATCCTAACAGAAACTTCACACCAGAGGTGATTGACTAATAAACATGAATATAAAGTAACTTTATCGTCTTCTAAATATTCAAAAATTTCGTTAAGGCAATCGACAGTAAGTTGAGACATTTTTAATAAGAATGAGGTGAGAAAAATTATTTTGTGTTACAAATATTATGGCGCAAGTATTTTATTCATTTACATGATATTGTGTCACATTTCCATAGGTTAGCTTAAAAAGATTATGTCGATCAATTTTGAATAACCTGGTCATTACATGTAATAATTAAATTTAGATGATCGACTAAATTATGGTGTAGTTAGCACGAAAATAATTAGCCGCAACGTGATCCGGCCGGCTCAGGCGTAGATCATCATGGAACTCTAGGGGATTTTCTGCGATTAAACCGGATCCGGATGATCGGCAATCAGGAATTCGGCTGTAAAGATTATAACGAAATGAAAGAAATACAGTTAGGGCAGTGACATATATTAGCAAATATTAATTTCATAAGGAGTCTTACCCTCCCATCCCTAAGTAAAATTTTTTTTAACCAGTAATAATATTCAATTATACATATAATACTAATTTTAACCAATAAAAATGTTTAATTCTGTGTCACGTAAGATTTTGCTTAACTAAAATATTAGCTAATATATGTCATGGCCCTTATTTAATTACACTGTATTAAAAGTTTTTGCGTATTCATTGATTATATATTTAAAATTATTTTAGTTGTTTCAGATACTGTACATTTATATTTATTCATAATTTATTGTACATTTGATTTTTAATTTGATTAAATGTACTTGTATGATAGTTATTGAAATGAGTATAAAAAAGTTTACTCATTTTCAATTTTATATATTGGAAATGGTTTAATTATATATTATTTTGATAATTTATATTTAAAAGTTGGAAAAGCTTCTTTAAAGAAAAAAGATTTATTTAAATTACAAACTAAGAAATCTGTAAAATATTTACTATTCTAGTCTTAGTGTTTAAATAATTCTAAGTAAAGTAAAAAAAGAGAATATAAAGATTTAATACTTGGGTAAGCTATAAAAAAAAAAGGAATTATTTAAATTACAAACTAAGAAACTTGTAAATATTTTACTACTCTAGCCTTAGTGTTTAAATAAATATAAAGAGAATTGAATAAAAAACAATTTTCTGGTGAATACATCATGTGATCATGTCAAATATCACTTAAAAAATCTACGAATCCTTAATAATCAGTTATTTCATCTGAATAATTAAATAAATAAATTAATAAATTTTCAAAATTAATTTTTCTTTATATATTATATTACATACCTAATTATTTATATCTTTGACTATACAATCATTCAAATCTTCAGTTATACCAGTAGAAGAATTTTGTAAATCTCTTTCAAGTATTTCATTCAATTCTTTACTAGTAAAATCAAGTAAGCGACTTGTATAACATGCTTGTGGATGAGATTCAGTAGCAAGATTATTATGCACAATTGGTGCATTTATAAATTCCATAACATTGCCTTTTAATTCTTTATTGATCTCTTCAATTTTCTTTTTATAAGGGAAAAAAATCCATTTTTCAATAATATCATAAACTTCTTTAGAAGATGGCCTTTTCAAAGGATCTTCATACCAACATTTTTTCATCAAATCTACATAACATTGTGGAGTATTTACAATAATTTGAGGACGTTCACCTTTACAAATACTTAAACTAAGATGAAGATCGTGTGCTCTATTATTAAATGGTGGTATTCCAGATGTAAATTCCCACATAACCATAGAAAAACTATATATATCACTAGATGGAGTATAAGATTTGCCTCTTAAAACTTCAGGTGCCATAAATGGCATAACACCATAAATATCATATTTTTTCAAGAATGATTTTACAGGTTGACATAATCCTAAATCACTAATATAAATTTTACTCTCATCATGATTTAAAATATTGCCATCATGAAAATCACAATGAATAAGATTTTGATGATGTATATCTTTAAGTCCAGAAATAATTCTATACAACATATATAATTTTTGATTCCAATCACTATTAATTATTCTTGTTAAGTTTCCTCTTAAATTACCTTTGTTTGCATAATCCATTACTGTCATATATTTTAAAGTATCTGGATTTCTTGTAAATCCATGAAAATAAATAATATCATATGAATCTAAACAACTTTCATGACATTTCCACTGTAAAAAAAATAATAACATATATTAGTATAAATAAATATATAATTTGAATTAAAAAATAAATAATATACTATCATACTTCATTTAAAAATTCATTTAAATTTACACTTAAATCATTATGACATTTAAGAATTACTTCTTTATTTCCATCATTATTATTTAACCAAATAGCTTTGTATACAATACCAAATCCTCCTTTATCAAGATACTTAACATTTTTAAATTTATTGTAAGGAATCCATTTTAATTTTTTTTTAAAAATAAAATCATCCATAATTATATTTCCACTTGTTCCAAATCTATAAATTTAAATAATAAAAGTTATATTGAAGTTTATATTTAAAATTACACTAAAATTTAAGATTAAAATCAACACTTACTCTAAAATTTAAATAGAAATTTAATATAATGAATATCTTAGGTTTCGTATAAATATATAATAACAACCATAATAACCTATATTTCATGACTTACCAACTAAAGTAACAGAAATTTTTTAAATGAATTCAATTAACAAATAATAATTATATAAAATATATAAAAATAGAAATAACGAATTACTTACAAGCTATATTACAAAATAATTTTTTAAATAAATAAATTAATTAGTTTAAAGTATATTTAAATATTATAACAATAAGTAATAATAGAATTAAATAAATAACTTATAACTTACGATCTATTTAAATAAAGAATTTAGTCAGTTTAAATTATGTATTATTATATAATAAGTAATAATAGAATTAGATAAATAACTTATAACTTACCAGCTAAAAAAATTACAAAATTTTTTAAATAAAGGCATTTAATTAGTTTAAATTATATGTAAATATTACAATATAAAAAGTAATAATAGAATTAAATAAATAACTTATAACTTACAATCTAAATAAAGGAATTTAGTTAGTTTAAATTATATGTAAATATCATATAAATAAGTAATAATAGAATTAAATAAATAACTTATAACTTACAATCTATTAAATAAAAAATTTAGTTAGTTTAAATTATATGTAAATATTATGATATAAATAAGTAATAATAGAATTAAATAAATAACTTACGCTCTATATTATTGAATATTTTTTTAAATGGAATTTTAGTTAGTGTAAATATTATATAAATAAGTAATAATAGAATTTAATAAATAACTTACGCTCTATATTTTTGAATAATTTTTTAAATGGAATTTTGTTAGTTCAAATTATATGTAGATATTATACAAATAAGTTTAAATAAATAACTTGTAACTTACCAACTAAAATAAATTACAAAATATTTTAAATGGAATTTAGTTAGTTTAAATTATATGTAAATATTATATAAATAAGTAATAAAAGAATTTAATAAATAACTTACGCTCTATATAATTGAAATAGAATTTAGTTAGTTTAATTATATGTAAATATTATATAAATAAGTGATAATAGAATTAAATAAATAACTTACGCCCTATATTATTAAATAATTTTATAATTTTTTAAATAAAGAATATAGTTAGCTTAAATTATATATAAATATAGTAGTATTAAATAAATAACTTACGCCCTATATTATTAAATAATTTTTTAAATAAAGAATTTAGTATGTAAATATTATAACAATAAGTAATAATAAAATTAAATAAATAACTTATAATTTACCAACTAAAATAAATTACAAAATAATTTTTTAAATAAAGAATTTAATTAGTTTTAAATTATATGTAAATATTATAGCAATAAGTAATAATAGAATTAAATAAATAACTTATAACTTACTAACTAAAATAAATTACAAAATAATTTTTTAAATAAAGAATTTAGTTAGTTTAAATTGTATGTAAATATTATAACAATAAATACTAATAATAGAATTAAATAAACAACTTATAACTTACCAACTAAAATAAATTACAAAATAATTTTTTAAATAAAAAAATTAGATAGTTTAAATTATATGTAAATATTACAGATAAGTAATAATAGAATTAAATAAATAACTTACACCCTATATTATTAAATAATTTTTAAATGAAGAATTTAGTTAGTTGTAAATATTATAACAATAAGTAATAATATAATTAAATAAATAACTTATAACTTACGATCTATTAAATAAAGAATTTAGTCTAGTTAAATTATATGTAAATTATAACAATAAGTAATAATAAAATTGAATAAATAACTTATAACTTACCAACTAAAATAAATTGCAAAATAATTTTTTATATAAAGTTAGTTAGTTTAATTGTATGTAAATATTATAACAATAAAAGTAATAATAGAATTAAATAACTTATTACCAACTAAAATAGATTACAAAATAATTTTTTAAATAAAGAATTTAGTTAGTTTAAATTATATGTAAATATTATAACAATAAGTAATAATAGAATTGAATAAATAACTTATAACTTACGATCTATTTAAACAAATAATATAGTTAATTTAAATTATGTATAAATATTATATAAATATGTAATAATAGAATTAACTTACCAACTAAAAGAAATTACCAAGTAATTTTTTTAAATAATAAAGTATTTAGTCAATTTAAATTATATATATTATATGTAAATATTGTAATAATAGAATTAGATAAATAACTTACGCCCTATATTATTGAATAATTTTTTAAATAAAGAATTTAGTTAGTTTAAATTATATCTAAATATTATATAAATATGTAAATAACTTAGTATAACTTACCAACTAAAAGAAATTACCAAGTAATTTTTTAAATAAAGAATTTAGTTAATTTAAATTATATGTAAATATATATAAATATGTAATATAGAATTAAATAAATAACTTATTACTTACAGACTAAAGAAATTACCAAATAATTTTTTAAATAAAAGATTTAGTTAATTCAAATTGTATATAAATAATATATAAATATGTAATAATGGAAATAAATAAATAACTTATAACTTACAATCTATATTATTAAATAGTTTTTAAATAAAGAATTTAGTTAGTTTAAATTATATATTATATGTAAATATTAAAATGATAGAATTAAATGAATAACTTACACCCTATATTATTAAATAATTTTTTTAAATAAAGAATTCAGTTAGTTTAAATTATATGTAAACATTATATAATTATGTAATAATAGAATTAAATAAACAACTTACTCCCTATCATATTATTAAACAATTTATTTAAATCAAGAATTTAGTTAGTTTAAACTATATGTAAACATTATACATGTATTATATGTAAATAATGGTGTAGTTAGCCGAAAAATAATTAGCCGCAACGTGATCCGGACCCGGCTCAGGCGTAGACCGTCGTGGAATTCCGGGATTTTCTGCGATTAAACCGGGTCCGGATGATCGGCAATCAGGAATTCGGCGCCAAACTACACCATTATTACATGTAACTAATATTAGAATTAAATAAATAACTTACGTTCTAAAATATAAATATTTAAATAAAGAATTTTGTTAGTATAAATTATGTATAAATATTATATAAATATGTAATAGCAGAATTATAAAGTAAATAACTTACAACTTACCAACTAAAAAGAAATTACCAAATATTTTTTTTAAATAAAGAATTAAGTTAATTTAAATTAATTAATATTACCAATCTTGATAAAACATAACTTACACCCTGTAGTATTATTGATGATTAATTAGTTATATAAGCATAATACAAAAGTATATATTGTAAATTAGTAAATATATCACTTACAATCTAATTATTTAAATAAAGAATATATAGTTAGTTGATTTTATGTAAATTATTAAACAAATGAATATAATATTATTAAATATTATAACTTACTTTCTGTAATAAAATAATTATTAAAATAGTTATTTAAACAAAAAATTTTAGTTATTTTATATTATGTAAAATAAAGTAAAAGACTGAAGATTTAAATAGCTGATAACTTACTAACTGCATATAGTATTATTAATCATTGAATGAATTATTTAGTTATATAGAATATATCAAAATAAGTAATTCCATTATATTCAATTATAAGATAACCTATTAACTTACGAGCTAAATTATTTAATAAATTTTTGAATAAGAACATGGCAATATTACATTATTATATAAAGTACTACTATCAAAGTATTTAATTTCCTAATTTAAGGGTTTAAATTTTATACGCAGGTGCGTTGCAACGCACCATTTATAATTACTTATATATAAAAGTCAAAAACAACATTCTAAACCATACTTTCGTCTTTAAGTAAAGTTGTAGAGCAAGCAAAATACGCATAGTACATGTCTTTTAAAAGCTCTATAATATGTACATAAAGTTTATGCGACATTTATTCAAAAACAAAAAAAATTTAACGACGTCACGTGATAATAAATGATCGACCTATTTACTATGAGAAAATTACCAAAAGGGGGGATGCGTTGTTACGCACCCGCGTATAAATGTTTTTCCTTAATTTAGGATTATTTAATTATAAATAATTTTTATTTTATAGTTAAATAAAAAAATTTAATATTTTAGCTTGTTTACCTTCAGATTCCTTGCTGCTAATTGAAACTTATGCAATTTGATTAAAAAATTTCAGAATAATTAGAATAATTCTAATTTGTATTAAATATTCATGTTATATACTTTTTACCTTTATCATCACTGTGAGCCATTATTACAATATTAATTGAAAAATTATTTTTGGGTATATTTATAGTTGTTTAGGTATGCCAAAATACAAATTAGCTGATCAAACAATGCATGACAAAAATTTGGAATGTGTGACGTCAATCCTAATTAAGTTGACGTAAGTTTGGCTACTTTTTACTTTGATTTTTGAATTTTTGATTCTTTAAATTATGTAATGATTATGTAACATCAAAAATAGTAATTTGATTATGTAAACATCCATATTTGGAATGTTGATTACGTAATCACTATATATGAGCAATTTTATTATGTAATCAATATTATGTAATATTTTTGGCACATAACAATGTGGCAATGTCAAAAATGTGGCAATGTGGCTTATAACTCATGGTAATTTTTTCCAGCTTTAATTT